GTGACATCTTGCTTATACGACTCACTTGATAATGACATTTACTGAAACTCGCTAAAGAGTTTAATATCTTAGATATAGATAATTTTGGATCTCGAGAAAGCTACTTCATCAAATTGATTAGTTGTCTTAATATATATTTGCTAAGGGAGAGATACACAAATAAATACATGTGTCATTGTATTTTTATGAAAAAGATCTAGAAAATCATTTTCTATAATAATTGTATAAGTGGATGGCATAAAATTATTGAAACTCTTGAAGAGATTCCAAAATTTATAAATCTCTTAAAGAAACGGTTTGAGATAAAGGACATAGAAAAGAAAAAGTTTTTCCTATGTTTACAAATTAAGCATTTGGATAGTAAAATATTTCTACATTAAGAACCTTATCTAAAAAAAGTGTTAAAAAGTTCGTATATGGACAAATATTGTCTACCCCTATGATGTTAGACCATTGGATTTGGATAAAACTCTTTCCAACATCGAGAAGATGAGAAAAACTACTTGTTTTAGAAGTACCATATCTTAGTGCAATTCAAGCACTGGTGTATCTTGCTAAGTATACATACCATGATATATCAATTTCTATCAATCTATTAGAAATATATATTTCTTCACCTACACAAAAGCATTGGAACAAAGTCAAAATATACTTCGGTATTTTAGGGATAAATGGACATGAGTTTGTTTTATTCGTATCCAAATTAGAACTATCAGGTTATGCATAAACATAATACTTTTCAGATCCTCATAATGGTATATCACACAAATTATTTGTTTACTTACGGTGGTATAACTATTTCATGGAGACCAATGAATCAAACCATAACAACAATTTCGTCTAATCATGAAGAATTTTTAGCACTACACGAGGCAAGTCGCGTTTGATTGAGATCCCAAATTCAACACACACAAAGTAAGGTTTTAACGAGGCATGTCCTGAACAAACATCCGAGGAGGATTCACATGAATAATGAATTACTGTCTCCCTATAATTTTCTTTCTTATTTGTAATAATCTGTATTGATTAGTAATGAGGTAATTCACTTACAAAGAATGATGTACTCTTTTTCCTTCTCTAGAATTTTTCCATTGGATTTTTTCTAGTCAGACATATTTTTTATGGACACCCAAAGGAAAGGGTTATAAATGACATGATTATGGATGTCTATCAATTGAAAAATTTCATAATGATTTTCTATTTATTACATATGTCTTATAAATCAGACTCATATTATACTTGAAATCAACACTGATAATGAGAATAATACAATTATATTTTCATTTTTTTTCTTTCTTTACTTCATCTCTACTCTTCCCGTTATATTGATATTTATATATTTCATAACAATATATTCATTCAACTTAATATATGTAATAATTTTACATTTCTAATTTATATCTTTCACATAACAGTTACGTGATTAATTTTGCATAGAAATTTAAATCATCTCAATTAGAAAATTCAAAATTTTGATGTTTGATTATAAACCTCACAATATACTTTGACAGACTTGGATCAAAGACCCTAAACTTGTGTAAAATAGTCTAATTAACATCGATGGCAATTTCTAATCAAATCAATGTCTATTTCCTCATCTCGTACAGAAGTATATGTGGAAAGTCCCCACCAATTGTCACGTTGATTGACCATAAGATTCTTAAAAAAAACATTTTAATTTGTTTTTTTTTTAATTTAAAAAAAATAGAATTGAAAACATACTCAGACTGAAAAACTATATTTATCATAAAATATGTTTTTCTCTCTTCTTTCAAAAGTTTTTTTTTTTCAAAGTGTAATTAAACTTACCATTCCATCTTTTTAACATAAAAACATTTTAAAACAAAATAGCTTTAAGAAAAAAACATGGCCGTTAATATAATTAAAAATTAAAAAAATAAATTTGCAAGTCTTTAATCAAAATGACTTGAGTGTATTAAATAAAAAAATAATCTTGTAAAGATTTTTTTTCTTGAGAAAAAATATGATGCACTGACATTGTCAACCAATGACGATCGTGTGTATCAAGATAAATTAGATTGAAATTTTTTTAAAAATTTATAAAATATAGTGGAATGATATAACTTTATTAGATGTCAGTATAAAACTTTTTTACATTGTCGGTGCATAATTATTAAACTCTTTTCTCTTTCATGAGTGAAATTTTTTTTTTAGAAAAAAGAAAAGAAAAAAGAAACCGTTATAAACATGAATGAAATAAATTGGTTCTCACTTGTATATAGATTTGCATATTTAAATGAATTTATTTATTTTTTGTTGGTATGAATCGTGGCAAGTTAAATTTATAAAGAGTGTGATGTTATGGTAATGTGGACTTTTTTAATATATCACGCTTTGGTGAGTTATTAAATCAAATTTAGCGTGGTCTCAATTTCTCTGTAATTTTTTTTTGGGGAAGAATAAATTTTACGAGTGGAGCTTTGCCTTTATGATTGGTAGTTGGGATGCCCTTCTTTTGATCTAGTGTAGTTTGAAGGGAATTTCAGTATTTTTCTTTTTTGAGTGTTGGTTTATTTTTCATACAAGAATTAGAAATAAGTGAAAATTGAAGGAATTTGAATTCTGATATGAGGAGTAAGTTTTTGATACGAAGGAACATGGGTGTCCTTATAAGGTTAGAATTCCAACAGTCACGTCAGAGAATGAGTAGGAAATGAATTTGAATGTGTGAATGGGAGAACTCTTGAAATGGTACATGTTATACTTTATATAGTGTTAATGGATAAAACTTTTTCTGAGATCTGATGTCTCATGCAGGTTATCGTCCTATCAGATCCAATAGTGGGAAATAAGCTGGAGACATAATTGTGTCCACGACTATGGTGAGGTCTTGCATGTTCCGCACGTCTTTCCTCGTGGTGCTTATAATTGAACGTTTATGCTTAGGCCTTTGGCTAACTTTGAATATTTTCCCGTTAGGCTTCACTATTGCGTAGTAATGTGAAGATTTTAGATTATTGGGCTCCCTTCATTCTCCGTCTTGGTTTTTCCGGAGATCTCACGATTTGTAGAGGTGGAAATGAATAGTGAGTAGAGGGGAAGTTGGTTACCTCTCGTTATATGTTTGGTTTTCTTTTTTCTTCCCGTACGTATGATTTATATTCACCATTTCATTTCATCATCATGTGTCTTTAATGATTTTATTTCATCATTATTCCTCATCAATGATTTTGTGTCATCATTGCTTTGGTATGGTCAGAGCAATCTCAGGTTATGTTGGCCGGGTAGAAGCCGAGCTTTACCTTTTCTCCTTGTGTGTATTGATAGATGGATGAATATTGGTTGTGCCTTCTCATTGATATGGGTATCATATATACCTGAATGTACCCGTAATAATCCTCAATAATTGCATCCATAATAATCATATCTATATTGAGTAATTATTTACAACAAACTCAAATAATATTCTTTTTATATCTACATAGTATAATACACCCCTGTAGTCGAAATATGAGGTGGACGAATATTGAAACTATCTCTAAAGCTGTCAAAAAAGTCGTAGCATAAGGCCCTTCGTGAAGATATCGACAAATTGAAAATGAGAAGGCCCTTCGTAAAGATGCCTCATGAATGTTAACTTACAGAGATGTCTATCAGAGGACCTAGATCTTTCATTACAAATTTAGAACTCATCTTGGATATAATATACTCATGAAGAGAGTCGGATGAAACAATGAGGATAATGTCATCTAAATAGAAAAGAATGTAGGACATGTCATTCCCATGATCATAATTAAATAATTAGTGATAAAAAATATTGTGACAGAATTCCATTATAGTGACATAATCAATGAACCTCTAACACCAGACGCGCAGTGCTTATTTAAGTCCACAGAAAGACTTTTTGAGCATACACACGTGGTCCGGGAATTGAGGATGATGGAAGCCTGGAGATTGATGCATGTACACAATTTCATCAAGGTTGTCATGTAAGAAGGCATTTTTAACATCTAATTGACGAAGACACCATGATTTTGACAAGGCAATGTAGAGTATTGTATGAAAAGTAGCCGTTTTGACTATGGGGCTGAAGGTTTCACCATAATCAACGTTTATTTGTTGGTTCACTCCATTTCCTACAAGGAGAGCTTTGTACGACTTGAATGATTCATCGAAATTATTTTTATGCCTAAAAATTCACAAACTTCGAATAATATTAACATTAGACAGACAGGGAAATAAGTCTCACGTCTTATTTTCAATAAGAGCGTCATATTCATTTTTCATGGTCATTTTCCAATTAGGGTCATGTAATGTATCTATGAGGTTTGTAGATAAGGGGGATATGATATTTTAAGATGAAATATGTAGGTTAAAAAGCCTGTGAGGTTTGACTATACCATGTTGGACTTTGATAGTTATTTGAGGTGAGAATTATGGTAATATTGATGATGACGAGGTTATGAGCATCAATGTAATAGCTGAGATTTATTGTTTGCTGTGAGTTGAAATATATGGAGATATAGTTGTGGAGGAAGAGGTCAGTGGGAAGGGTTGGTTGGGAGAGGGCCTAAATGAAGGTGGATTTGAGGCTGATGTTTGTGAATTGTTAGATTAAAAATTAGTTGGGATTGAAGTATATGGTGTAGGGGTACCATTGAAGTAGGAAGAAAAGGTGTCGAGTCATTATCGAAAAAAGATAAAATCAACTGGGTTAGGAGCATTTAGGGTAGAAATGAGAAACATATTTTCTTTAAATATGAGCCTAGAAATAAAAATCTTACAAATGAACATCTCATAACACTTTTATCATCTATAATTAGGTGGAAAACTTAAGAATACACATGACATGATATTAAGCGAGGTTGTAATTTATTTCTAGAGGTTGAGTGGATTAGAAGTGAGACAATTTGGATAAAATAAAATTGATATAGAAATTATTTTTCACACAATAATGTTTAAGCCTACTATTCACGTAAACATAACTTCTACATTTTTACAAATAAAATGCTCAGTTCTTAATAAATGGTTGTGCTCCTTTATTCCTGAATTATTTCCATTTGAAAAGTTCTTCTTGCCAAAGTGGTTTTTTCATTAGTGGTCATGGAAGTCGTTGACTGGAAAGGGTTAGGAGGTACAATTAGCTGGCTATCATCTCTTGTTTCCAACATTTGCACAACAGCTTTTATTGATGGACGATTTATTGGTTGCCATTGAATGCACCAAAGTCCAACTATTGCAAGTTTCTTTGCAATTTTAAAATCAACTTCATTCTCAATATGAATATGTACATCTCCTTCCAATAAATTGTGGATCCACTCTGGGTACAAGACATTGAAATTTTCCGCAGATGATGTTTCTATATTCTTCCTTCCTCCAACCATTTCTAACAACAACATTCCATAACTGTAAATATCTGATTTTAGAGACACGTTTCCAAAATTTCTCGACAGAACTTCAGGCGCCATGTATCCAAAGGTTCCCTTAGCAGCTGTCATGGACACAACACTAAGATTCTTGGAACATAATTTTGCGAGACCAAAATCGGAAATCTTTGGAGTAAAAGAGTCATCTAGCAAAACATTGTGAGGGTTGATGTCAAAATGAATGATTGGATGGTTACAACCCTGATGGAGATACTCAATTCCTTTGGCTATGCCAATACCAATTTGTTGCAACTTCTCCCACCCTAAGAAATGGTCTTTGTTATCCGGTGAAAATATGAAACTTTGTAGCGAACCATTTGAAAACAAATTGTAAACAAGAGCGCGGTGGATTCCATCGGCGCAAAAACCAATCAAACGAACTACATTTATGTGATGGATTTTGCCCATAATTCCTACTTCATTGATGAACTCTTTTCCTTCTCCTTGAGTACCATTGAGCATTTTCACTGCCACAAGAATCTCAGTTGAGAGTTTTCCTTTAAACACAGTTCCGTGAGCTCCTTCTCCAAGTTTTTCCTTAAATCCATTTGTAATTCTTTTTAAATCAGCATAGGAAAATCTAGCTGGCTTTTGTGCTCTATAATCCTCTAAAAATTTATCAACTCTAATTTGATCCTCTTCTTTCTTTCTAAAATAGAGAAATATCTTAAACAACGCAATCAGAATAAGCCCCAAAAGAATTGAACCTAGAAAAACATGTTATAAGTGTCAAATAAAAACATTTTACAACATAAATCAACCAAGAACAACATAAAATAAGTCTAACCTGTAGCACTGTATATAAGAGACTTTGGAAGAATTGTTTTCCGTTTCTTGTAGCAACCAAAACATTCCGTTTCTCCTTTGGTACCGTTGTTTTTCCATTTGCACTCCATGCCTTTCGCTTCGCACACTGTACAGTTTTGTTCGAGCCAACTCAAATCTAGCAAATTATTCGTCAGGTCTGGGGCCATGATTGGCAAGTTGATGTCGAACATCTTGATACACGATGCAAGATTCCATGTGAAGACACTGTGATTAGAATTAGAACCGTAAATTGGACAGGTGATCCTATTTTGTGACTGATCATATTTTGAACTACTAAGTGAAGAGCAATCGAAGAAAGAATATTCGGTTGTTTCTGATACTGGAGAAAATCGGTAAGGTAGAAATGATGAAGTGGTAAGTTTCAGAAACTTTGTGGCCATGCACTTTTCCGGGTCCCAAACTAAGATTTGGTTTGATTCGTAGTCAATTTTTTCCACAAGGAATTTGATTGGACCTGAAGTGGTAGGGAGTGAAACCATGGTTTCATTGTATCCATGAATAGTGGTACAATATAGACAGAATTCAGGATAAAGACATTGATCTTGCGATGATTCATTAACGAGTTGGAAGGGAAATCGAATGATCGGTTCGTCTTGTCCACAAGACAACTCTTTACACTCATCAATACTTCTTCCATTATTGATACTAAGCATCAGCATGAGAAGTAGCATCATCAAACTACTATGTTCAACGGAAGAAAATAGTGATCGACTTTATATAAACAAAACAAAGTGATCAAGAATAACCAAACTCTCTGTTACTTTTAATTATATAAACTACTATTTACTATTATGAACCAACGAAAATTGCTTCAAATTTATATCACTATTTTAAATTATTATTTTAATAATTTTTAAACTATTAAATGACAAATCTATAATTAATTGAACTACAGTATATAAATTAATCATATTTATTACTATAATTTTTTTAAAGACGTTGATTTATAAATATCTATAATTTATTTACATTAATATATAATTATAAATAAATATTATTGTAAATAGTTACACTTTAAAGAGTTAAATCATTATTTCCTCACGATATAAAATAGTTTTATATCATTATTTAATGAAAATTTATTATTTAGTCATATCATATAATTTATTTAAAAATAATAGTATGATTTGACACCTAACATAATTATGATGACTATTTTAACATTGTCAAACAATTACAAACGTATAATCTACTAAATCACACTTTTAATTTTAAAATACTGATATGACATTGGAGTCATTTGTTTTGTGTTCTTTTTTTAAAATAATTTTTATAATGTTACATAATTTTTGTGTAAAAAAAATTTATAAAGAAATTTTTTATAAAAGTTTCAAATGAAAATTTGGTTTTAAGAGTAATTCTTAAAATATTATTTTAGGTATTTCATTATTTTATTGAAACTTTTTTTTATATTAAAATTTTAAAAAATCACTTAATTTTAAAAGTTATTTCAAATATATAAAAAAAAAATTTTAATTTTAATTTTTTGAAAAAATCACGATTTTAACTATATTTTAGTCTTCAATAATATATGTTTATATTATAAAATATCAAAATTAATATTTCGATTTAGAAAAAATAAATATAAAAAAATTTATAATATTTTAAAAAACAGTTTTTATAGAATCTATTTTTAAAAATACAAAAAAAAATTATTTTTTTAAAATTGAAACGAAGGTGCCTTAATACAGTTTAAATAGCAAGAGATTGTGGATTATACATATAGACCAGATCGTTGTTGCTTGGATGATACGGTCGCCAAATCGGAACATAGAAAAACAAGTTTCCAACCTTTGATTACCTTTGTTTTGCCCCTATGTGGTGGGTAAGAGTGATATGGGCGTTGTTGTTGTCGTTTTGGGTTCTACTCCAACAAAGTAGTTGTAGTAGTAGTATTGAGGAAGAAGATAGTTGTCGAGCTTCATCTTGTGGCAAAATATCAAACATAAGTTACCCTTTTCGACTAAAAAATGACCCAAAACATTGCGGGGACAGCAGGTATGAGCTATCATGTGAGAATGATGTAACGACTTTGTATTTGTGTTCCGGGAAGTATCATGTGCAGTCCATCAACTACCACAATTTCACAATCACACTGCTTGATCCCGGACTTGAACTAAATAATTGCTCCTCCCTTCCTGTCAATTTCTTGTCTCGGTTTAATTTCTTTGATGATGTTAATCAAGACAACACATATTGCACTGATCCATACCAAGCAACACTAAACAATCATGGTAATGATGATGATCTTCTTTTTGAACATATAGTTTACTTGAATTGTAGCCATCAAGTGACAAACAATCACAAGTATGTTGATACATCTTCCTGCATCAATTCGCACTCCATAAATGGCCATAGTTATATTTATGCCATGGCTGGTGATTTAATTGCTAAAGATTTTCAAGTTGGTTGTCAAGTGAAGTTAGTGGCTCCAACTTCAGGGTTCGGTTTGCAGAGAAATCAATTGCTTCCCTATCATGTCATGCACAACGCCTTGGCCTATGGCTTTATGGTTTCCTGGGTGAATCTTGTCTGTAAAACAACTTGCGGACAATCAAATCGCTGTTCCTTCAACGCTACCACCGAGAAATTTCATTGCTCTGACGACTGCGGTTATATCTACATGCTGCATACTTGTGGTAAATATTACTCCACTCAATTTTATTATCACTACAAATATCTACCTTCATCTTTATTAATTTATATATCTCATCATCATTCATCATTCATCATATAGAAATGTTATTTCTTCTATTGCTCTATCACCTATGAATACAACTCGATACCTCAAATTTATATTTTCTGTGTGAACAAAATTTCATTTACACTTGTTTTTTTCTTTTTTAATGCTTTGGTGGCTCTCATTAAATTGAAATTGTTTTATTTATGAATAGAACTTAGCTAATTTATTTCCGTATCATTTTGATTTTCGATTTTTCTATATAAATCAAATGGGCTACGTATCAAAAGGACTCGATGATAGGGCCTCACACATCATAATACACATAATCTAGGATTCATTTGATGCTTTCTGGTTTTAAAATGAATGCCACATGTTTTTCAAGTACTCAATACTTACAAAAAGACATTTTACAACTACAAACACCCTTCACATATAATGATATTCCCCAAAAAATAAAGATTTTACATGTAGTCCTCTTTGCTATTAGGACTTCAAAGACACCTTTTCTGACCTTCACAATGTCCCAATCTGATGTTTCTCTGTTAATCGAACCAAGTCTTTGCATATCAATTTGTTGAAGTTAACAACGAAACTCCATTGATGCAAGAGGAAGGAAAAATGAAGTTGAAAGAATTTAGAGAGAGAGAGAGAGAGAATTAACTAACTTTTCTCAACAAACTCAATTTCTCAAAATGTTCAATCATATACAAGTGTAACTAACTTTTAGATTATATACACTAACTCAAACTCAAATACAAACCAAATAAATCTTAAATGCAATTGAAACTAAATAGAAATATAAGACTTGAATTTTAATTACATTCAGAAGTAAGGATGCAACAACACTTCCTTTAGAGAGAGATTATGAAAAAGAGATCTATTTGCAGGGTGATGTGTGTATGGGGTGGGGGGAGTGTGCAAGACTAAAAGTCAGAGGGGAGTGTGCAAGACTAAAAGTGAGAATAGGTTAATTTTGAAATATTTTAGAATAGTCAATAGCAAAATGATGGTGATAATTACTTTCGAATGGTCCAGATGTATTGAAACAAATTTTGAGGGGAAAATATGGAAGGGATATGGATGGAAAACTAGATGTTAGTGAGGAAGAGGTGGGAGAGTAACATTAATTAGTTGGGTGGAAGGATTTGTGATCTTTGGGATTTTAGGATAATTGGTTCACAAATGTTGTAGCAAGGGTAGTGGATGATGGTATATGAAGTTTGGACTTGGACGCGAAACACGACACGGGCACGGACACGAGAAATCCGCTAATGTAAAAAATATAGGACACGGAGACGGCTATATATATTTAATACATTAATAAAATAATGTAATTTATGAGCATAATTTATGAAGAGTCTAAAATGAGAATTAAAATTTATATTTATTTAAACTTAGTATTTTCAATCAACTAAAAAAATACTTAAATTGAGTACTTTCAATTAAGAAAAATCATCTAAAACAAAATTATACAAATTATATCATAGTCACTACACATTGAAAAAATAGGTCTTTAAGTCTGACTCATCCAAAGACAAGTTATATGTTATTATATATAATTAACATATAACATGAGTGAAACAAAGACAAATAACATATAACATATATAATTAACATATAACATTTCTGTAATTAACTAGAAACATAAACAAAAAACCAAGACAGTTTACAAATAATAACACAAGTGAAGCGTCGTCGCCGACGTATGTAATTAACAACAGAAAACAGAAACAAAGACAGATAATAAAGAAAGAAAAGGAATGATTATCGGAAGAGAAAGACTGGAATACCGGTATCGCACGTGTATGCGAAAATGTAGTGGTAAGGGTTTGAGACTAAGTCAATAATTGACTTAACTCACACAATGAAGTCGCCACCGCACTTTATTGTTTCCAAAGAGAAATGGGAAAAAAGCGAACAAAACCCAAAAATGAAATAAAAGATCAAAGGTCAAGGTACGGGGTGTCGGTTATGCAAATGGAAGGTTTTAGCATCCTAAACATCTACGGTACTCCGCATGATCCACTTTGTTTATTCTTATCTAAAGAGTATGTTATCTAAAGCTTAAACTTGCTAAAAGGAATGAATGAGTGACTATTTACAAACAAAACAAAATGTTTTTTATTATTGCGCTCGCCTTTGGTCGTGAGACCTAGTGCCTACGTACTCCCTCGTGCAATGAGAAAGTCAGAGCACCGTAGTTCGGCTAAAAAAGAACAAAACTTAGTTTGTTGATTGATTTTAAATTAAGAGACAAATCATCATTTTTAGGATAGAAATCTCAACTAATCGTCCACAAGGTATACAAAAGAAGGACAATACATCAAGATGAGGGAGGGTTTGAACACACCTCTAGTGCTCAAGTGAAAAGTCGACATCTTTACAACTGCGGAGATAGGAAAATAACATCTCGACTATGAATGACTTGTGTCTAATCTTGAAAAAGGTTTTAAAGGGAATAGGTGCGCGAGGCACAAAAAGGTTTGAATGAATTGAGTGTTTTGTTAGGATGATAACAAATGGATCCCACTGAAGGGACACTTACTACTTCTTCACTTATTTGTGAAAAGATTTACAAGTTGAATCGTAATAAAGTCCGGAAATGGAAGAAAGAACAAGGTTCGGTCTGTACCACCTCATCCTACCCCAAAAGACTTAACTGCATACGATTTGCATCTTTATTTGTTAAGTATTTTGAGTTTTATTTAAGAAAAAGAAGTTTGAAAAGAAAGTTGCTTGACAAAGTCAAAGTTTATTATGAAAGTGGTTCAAGTTAGAAAAACAAAGAAGGTTTTTGAAAAAAGATGAGAAGGTTTTGAAAATTGAAGAACGGGAGGAGATGGAGAGAATATCCTATGTACAGAAAAGTAAAAGATAAGTAAGAAATGTGTGATCAAATAAGAAGCTAATACTTGACATAAAGAAGTTAATACAACATTCTCATCCCTTTTGATTAAAGCCACAAGTAAAGAAATAAGCCAAGAGTATACCAGGTGTCATGTGAAAATAAATTATAAGCAGATAGTATCAGAGAAACTCAAATCGTCAGATAAAACTCAAAACATCAGATAAAGCTCAAAGCGTTGGATAAGAATCCATGTATCAGATGAAATTTCCAACAAACAGACAGAGCTAGGATAATAGAGAAATAAACCGAAGTCTCATGTGAAATAAAAAATCAAGTTTAAGCAGATTAGAAACTTGTATCAGAGTTAAATGAAACAAATGAAATGTGAAATAGATGCTTAATTAATTAATTAATTAAAAATTGATTAAATTAATTAAGTTAAGAAAAATTAATTAGCAAAACTAATTAATTTTTAATAACAAAACCAACTAACTAAATCAACTTAGTTAATGAACTAAAAGCAATAAAGTGGTGCTAAGATGAAGTGAGCACTTGAGTTACTTGAAAGCTACACAAATCATAAACAAGGTTAGTAACACAAGAGGGATTAAAATGAACTAAAATGAAATTACAACAATTTACATGTATTAGTAATTCAATTTCACAATTAGAATCATCAAACATGCGTAAACAAATAAGAACATGAACCGAATTGGCAAATGAAATCAACTTGAATTAACAAGGAAGTTGTAAAACATGTGAAGTGCAACCAAGTGTTTCATGAACTTAAAGTCTCAAAACAAACTCAAAACACATTTCAATTTATTAGAAACTAAAACCAAATAGCATACACTCATGTGCTACTCAAAACATATTCAAAACATGGAAAACAAGTTTGGAATTAAACCTTAATCGATTAAATCAATAATCGAGTTGTAACTACACATAACTAATTATGTCCTAAAATTCCAATTCAAACATACTTGAAACCAATGAAAAACACATCAAAATCAACAAATTTAAACCATTCAAGATTAACTCAAAATGAACCAAAACGGAATCGGTAGCATCTCTCGAACACTAATTCAAATAGCATGGTATCAACAACAAGTAAGCCATAATCTCATCATCAAATTGACACAAGAAACATGTTATCAATGCTTCTCAAGTAACATGACATCAAGATAATTAGCTCAACATTGTCAAACTTCATCATTTAGCTCAACCATAAACAAAACATCATATTGTCAATCAAAGCTTCAACTATCTGCTGGTTGAGCGGATGTATGGCAGTGGAATGTCGTGGAATGTTACGAGTTGTTGGAAAGCTGAGGAGCTTGAAGGATTAATATATTTTTTTATTTATTGAACAATTAATATATTTGATATATTATATCAAATATATTAATTATTCAATAAACCAAATAAATTTTTTATTGTTTATAATGTAATTGAAGGGTGTAATAGGTGTCATTAGATGAAATAAACTCTTACTTGTGATGCAAGTCACTAAAACATCCCCAATCATGTGTTGCAGATGAATTTTGAATTTTATATGAATATTTGTTTATGAAAAATGACATACCTAAAAATAAAAATCTCCTGAAGATCTAATAGTATATGCCCTTTGAAACCAACAGCATACCCTAAAATCATTTTTCAAAATGTAAACTAAGTCTTGAAATTTAAAACCCATTAATAAACCTTATCCTTTATAATGAAAAACCAATTCTTAAAAAAATGATGTGATAGATTAGTAAAAATATTAAGGTCCCGTGCGATGTCCATAATAAAATAAATATTGTATTATTTAGTATTTTTTTATTTAATTTATATGCAGTGTTATCTAATAAAAAACTAATTTATCATTAAAAAAATATAAAATTAAAATATATTTTATTTTAGTACAAGATTGTAATTGATTTGACTTTTTTTTTTTTTTTGGATGGTCCAGGAAAATTGTCTCGACAAATGTTGTTTGTCATCATAGGTGAGAATTCTATTTATATTAATTATCTATATGTTTTATTTATGAAATTAATTGGTATTTCTTTATATTGTAGATATTTTACAAGGTCAATTAATTATAACTATTAAAATTTTGAAAATATTATTTATAAAGAGTTGTGATATATCTATTGATTATGTAAAATATTTTACATTAAAAATATATATCAATTAACTTTTTTTATTTGTTTAGATAAGCATCTATTGAATTTTTTTATTTATAAGTCTCTAAGCGTTTTTTGTAAGAAGTTTTTATTTAAAAAATATGTTATATTTTTGTTGGTATAGGAATAGAACTAAACTTCCTTGTCATTCTTACTTATGCCCATTCCAACGACCAAGACATGTTATATCAAGGACTGTTTGTTATTATAAATGTATATAGATTATATTTGATCAAAAATAGAAAATAATTAATAAGTAGTTGAAAGGGGGTAGGGAATAAATTATGAGAGACTGAAATATTTTCTCAATGATATGAATTTTTATCAATTATATAAATAAGAAAACAAAATATATTTAAACTATATAAATTGTTTTCTTCTCTATTATATCAATTTACACTAACAAAATGTTAAAAAAGTAATTAATTAATGTCTCTTTTTTCTACCCGGACTCATCTCTCTATATATTCGTATTATCTGATCCTAAACAAATTATTTTTTAATATAAAAAATTACATAATATTTATTATAAATATAATAAAAAAAATTATTATTTTAAATATAATATATTTTTATACATATTATAATAGTTTTTAAATAAAATACATGTTTAAATTATATAAAATAACACTCAAATATTTAACATAAGAGAAATTAAACGAATACGAAGAATTTCTAAAATAAAACACAATATTTTGATATTATTTTGATTATATTAATATATAATATTTAAAATATAAAATTTAAATAGAATAAAGATAAAATTGAGTGAGATGAGCAAATTTAATATATTATTTTAGAGTTAGATAATATAAATAATAATATAAATTTTTAAATTTATAATTATGCGAATCTAACCAGTTATTTGCGACTCATACAAACTATTTTTAATAGTAGCAGACTTTTTAAAGTTAAACTAAAAAGCTCTACAAAAATTTAAACTTTAATTTTAAGACACAAATTTCACAATTTATCAGACTTGACATATCGATCCATATGTGTCAGTCCATTTCTAGAGTGATATCCGAATCGCTAACATGAAATAAATTCATATATGTTGCTCTACAATGTGCTAGGTTATCTTGTTATTTTGCAATATACCATATTCCCATATGCTCACTTGAATCAATTTTTTTTCTTCAGAAACCATCGTAGCCGTTTGGAAAGGTGAGTTCTTATCATTCAGTTTCAAAAAATGTTTAATAAAATTAACTTACTTTTCAAAAGTCTTTGTTATATAAAATATATATTTTATTTCAATTTTAGTTTTGAGAAATTTAGAATGTAGATTAAACATTGTCATATTCATATTGCTTCATATAGGAATTGATTTGAACTGGGTTGCGCTTGTTCCATTGTTGAGGAGGTCCAATCCAACACTCTTGCATAAGACTTAAAGACAAACTGTCTAAGTTGGGGATCGTTGGACAACTCCTCACGTGTCCGTTGGGAAATGTGACCCACGTGTCTGCACCATCGTCATCATAATTTTCCTCTAGAAATCACGGGTCCAACACTTGTTCTCTCGAAACAGTTGACCAGGGGGAGCCCACGTGTTGGACTCCATACACACGTAAGTCCTGACAGTCTTCATTGTTGGGCCTCATCGTGGCCCAACATTGAAGACCTTGGCCCAACACTGGGGGCTATAAATACCCTCTCACTTGAGAGAGTTAGGTGTTGATTCTTTAACTCACATACTTTCATACTTGCTAGCACTCTCCCTGAATCTTACTTTAGCATCGAAGTGTCTTGTAGATATCCCCTCCATCTCATCTCCAGCTGCTGCTCAACTCATAGCTTGTAGGCTTTGGCGATCTATTCTGATCAGGTACGATCAGTGGCGTCGTCTGTGGAAAATAAGTTTCCTCATCTTTCATTTACCTAAGACTAAAGCAACCATCAAACTCCAAGATTGTCATGGCCGACCTAACTGCCAACAACAACCTAAACGCCCATCTTGTCGACCCCAACAACAACATCGTCGACAACATGGGCAACAACAACAACAACAACAACGGGAATGACGTCGACATGGACGGTCTCGTGCAGAACTACAGAGACGGCATGACCGCCTCTTCATCATCCCGCTCTCGGCCACACAAGGATGCCCATCCGCCCTAGAACTATGAGTTGAACGTTTTCCAGGAGGTCCCCGTATCCGCGGGCGCTGACACCATGACCAGGACTCTATTCGCGGCCATTAACCAAACAAATTACTTAATCTTCTCGCAAGGCGAGCGACTAAGGGTGCTCGAGGATTCTCGCTGAGCCCCCAGAAGACACAGAAGACCTAACACTCCACCTCCCCATCAAAATGAAGACCATCCTCAGTATCCCCCGCAGAGACACATACGGGACAGATCACGAAGTCGCTCTCCCCGACAGACTAGGAGACGCCCCGCGTTGGAGAGACCACTTCCCGAAGCAACCGGGAGGCACGACCTCACCCCCCCTTGCGGAGAACGAAGATCCCCTGAAAACAGAAACGGGGGCAACGGAGAAGCGCATCCTCGACCAAGGGATCCTCCCCGAGGCCAAGGCCAACACTACGACCGCCAATACAACTGGTCTCCTTCCCACTCTCCCTACATAAGTGACGAAGACGACCCCCGCGGTCCCCTGTCACAAGCAATCATGGAGGTACTCATTCCCAGGGGGATGGAGAAACCTCCCTAATTTAAGGAATATGACAGCATTGCAGACCTTGTCGACCATATTGACGGGTTCGAGGTAATGCTCCACTATCACAATGTCAGGGGACCGATCAAATGCCAGTTGTTCCCCATGACCTTGAGGAAAACTGCAATTGAATGGTACAAAAATCTCGCCCCAAGATCGATTACCTCCTGGAGAAACCTAAAGAACCAGTTCATCAACTCTTTTCCAGCGTCTCGTCGACACCCGAAGACTGAGGCCTCCCTTGAGGCTATCGTCCAGAGAAGCGGCGAGACCCTCAGGGAATATATCGATCGGTTCAACTGCGAGGAAATTAAGGTCCCATGCATCGATCACATGAAGTGATATTTGCTCGAGAGAGGACTCCTCCCGGGAACTGAGTTCAGGAAGGTCGTCGGCATCGAACCACCCTGGACTTTCGATGCTCTCCTCGAAAAAGCTAGGGCCTATATGGACTACGAGGAGAGGGAAGCGGCCAACAAAGCTCGCGACCCGAGGAAACGCGGATTGACCAACACCCTGCGACACCAGGACGCAGGCCTACCTCGACAAACGGACGAGAAGAGAAGGGATGATAAACCGCACGATCCCCGCAAGCACAGGGGACCCGTAGGGTGATTCACCGAACACACTCCGCTGATCGCTTCCCGCGAGCGCATCTTGGCGAAGTGCTCTAGTACTAACTTCAAGGATGGCGGTGTCATACATTCTCGATCTACTCCTGTGAATATTGGAGATAACATGAGCAAATATTGTCAGTACCATCGGAGTCACGGGCACCTGACTGAAGACTATGTCCACCTCAAAGACGCCATTGAAACCCTCATCAAGAGAGGTGGACTCGGGCAATACTAACACAATGACGCCCCTCGTCGAGATGCCCGCGAGACAAAAGAGGTCGAGGAGGACACCCAACCATCAGATGAGGCGGCCCCCATCCAGATAGCTTTCTCCGTCACAAGGCCAGAGGACTTCTACGTCCCCGACAGATACAAGGAAGAACCTTTGTCCATGCACAACAGGTGGGAGAAATTCCCCTCCTCCATGGTTATAACCAGTGGGGAGTTCAACGACCTCTTCAAAAACTTCGCAAAAAGAAAGCCCGACGAGTTGGTCGACGCGGCCCCGACTCAAGCGGTGACACTCGAGAGGGTTAAGGGAAAATCATAACCAATCATTTTCTACCTCGAGGAGTTGCCTGGAGGGGCCCCTAACTCGAGCATCCCTCTGCTGGTGAGGGAAAATGGCTAATTTTGACGTTCACTGCATCTTGGTTGACGAGGGAAGTTTCTTCGACGTCATGTACAGCCATCTGTTCCGAACCTTGCAGCTGGACGACACCCACCTTTCACCCTACATGGGGTCCAACCTACAAGGATTCAATGGCTCGACCTCAAAACCTTTGGGATACATTGAGCTTTTCTTCCCCTTCGTGGAAGAAACCACCTCCCGGCAGATCAAGATGTGATTTCTAGTCATCGATTGCCCATCTCTCTACAATTGCATCCTAGAGAGACCATGTTGGCCGAATTTACCTCCGTGCCTTCCACTGTCCATCTAAAGATGAAACTCTACACAAGTAGGGGACGGGTCGCCACCATTCACGGGGATATCTTAGCTGCCCGAAGATGTTTCAACACGGCTTCTAAAGGATAGAGTACAGTCGACACCGGGGCGCGACCTTCCAAAAGAGCTGCTACTTCTCGACCTGAATCACAACCTGCTCTGACATAAGAACAAAGGGCTCCACCCAAGGTCGACTCCATCTCCGCTTCGACAAGGATGAAGCCCCCAATGGAAAACAAGAACTCCTCTGACCAATCCCATACGGAGACTTCGAGTTCTTCCCCCTCGGTGAAAACCCTCACAAAGGCGTGAAGATCGGCACCGGAATCCCTGACTTGGCGAGGAAACAGATTAAAGCTTGCTTGAGGGAGAACGCAAACCTGTTCGCGTGGAGCACTACGGAGATGCCCGAACTCGACCCTGAGGTCACTTGTCACCAATTGGCCATTGATCCAGCCTCTTAGGCAATAGTGCAACATAGACGTAGGAAGTCTCTCGAGAAAGCATAGGCTACTGAAAATGTTCTAAAAGACCTCCTAGAGGCTAATTTTATTTCTGAAGCCCGATATTCAACCTGGCTATCAAACGTTGTACTAGTTAAAAAGAATAATTGAAAATGGAGAATGTGTGTTGACTATACTGATCTTAATCGGGCATGTCCCAAAGATGCTTTTCCTTTACATAATATTGACATGCTGGTCGACAATTCGTCCGGCTATAAAATTTTATCATTTATGGACACCTACTCAGGCTACAACCAAATCCCAATGGCGATGAGCGACAAGCACTGCACTACTTTCATGACCAGCTCGGGAAACTGCTACTACAATGTAATGCCCTTCGGCCTGAAAAACACATGGGTGACATACCAGCGGATGATGAATAGTCTTCCGTGACAATAATAGTGATATGCTCGAGGTATACATGGATGACATGATCGTCAAATCTTGAACAGATACCGACCATGCTGCCCACCTCAAAAAGGTATTTGCCTAAGCGAGACAATGCACAATGAGATTCAGCCCCGAGAGATGCACCTTCGGGGTTAAGACGGGAAAATTCCTCAGTTTTTATCTAATTGAATGGGGAATTGAAGCCAACCCCGACAAGTGTCAGGCATTCTCCGAGCTTCCTACGCCTAGCTCGAAGAAATCCATACAAGTCCTAAACGGCATGCTTACCTCACTCTCCCATTTCATGGCAAAGCTCGTGCAACATGCTCTACCATTTTTCAAACTTCTACATAAAGTGGTAGCTTTCGAGTGGAACGAGGAATGCGAGTAAGCCCTCCTCCATCTCAAGCAAAGCCTTTCATAATCGCTCGTGTTATCGCAACTTGAGAACGGCGAAACCATGTTCCTTTACCTAGTTGTCTCTGCCGAGGCCATGAGAGCGACCCTCGTTCGTGAGACTCCAGACGGGAAAAAGCCAGTGTATTTCACGAGCAAATCTCTACAAGGGCTTGAGGTTAGGTATCAACAGATTGAGAAGTTGGCCTTGGCCCTCGTCAACGCGGCGAGAAGAATTAGACATTACTTCCTGGCACACACAATCATCATATGAACAGACCAACCTGTAAGGCAACTCCTATGCTGACCAGACATGGCCAGTCGAATGCTAAAATGGTCCTTGGAGCTCTCGGAGTTTGACACCCAGTATGAGAGCAGGAAGGCCCTCAAGGCCCAAGCGTTGGTCGACTTTGTCACAGAGATGATCGCTCACGACCCCTACCCCCATAGGGAAGAAGCATAAGTGGACTATCTGTGTGGACGGAGCTTCCAGGTCGATAGGGAGTGGATCGGGAATCCTCCTTGAGAATTAGAAAGACGTCGTGATCGAACATTCCCCAAACCTTTCTTTTTTAACATCGAACAATCAGGCTGAATACGAGGCCCTGCTCGCAGGATTAAGGCTGGCCGAGG